AAGAACATGTTTCCCACCAATAATGCCACACCTCTATTTTTTTCTGAAACGAGTTCAGAAAAATTAATTGCCTTTTACCTCAAAAAATTAGTCAACAACAAAAATATATTCAAGAGTGGTGATACTACCGACTTGTTGGGAAATGAATCAAACCTATGCAAGGACCCACTGCAAACCAGGCCACATATATTTTCCAACAAATAAAGAAATAACTTCCATTTCTGGTTAATGGAAGTTAACCAGTATTTCTGGTTGGGTCATGCCAAGGCTTCTTGTTGCAAGTGCCAGAAAAATTTGCATAAGTTATAAAACTCATCTTTTAGAGACACCATAGAGCTCTGGGAGAAAAAAGAATATGTGACAATATCAAAATTAAGGATCATAAAGTCAGAAAATGATAGCCCACAAGATTATTTATACTCAGTTGGATTACAATCTGTTGATGCAATATACTATTACTGAATAACTTCATATGTCTGCAAGTTCTACTGATTGATTAAAAAAATAAACACAGTTATGATGTAGGTCAATCGTGCCGCTTCCTCTTTATACATATAAAATACATAGGAAATGTCTCAGTTTTTTTAACTAATTCATTGTTCAGATCAAAGTTTAATTTTTTATAAATAAAGCTGAGTATCTATATGTTTAAAAGATTACTTTCTTATCTTTTCTGTAAAATGTTCTTCGTTTGTTTAGTTTCTTTTTTTATTTATATTTTGGAGTGTTCCTCAGTATTTAAGAATAAGAGCACTTTATTTGAGATGTTATTTGTAATTATTTTTCCATTATATCAATTCTATTTGACTTTACTCTCGAGATTTGTTTCTTTTTATAATGCACAATTATTTATTTTTTCAAAGAGTTTTTTTCAATCTTTACATCTTGCTTTTCCAAATTTTGAGTTAGAGTTCAATTTTCCTTAGGCTACTTTTATGATCTCACTCCCTAAAATACTTAAACTTGTGTATTCCTGGGAGTTTTCCTTGCTGCAGTATAAGCAATTAAGAAAAGTTTATTATTTTTTTTTCCTCTGAGGCTGCTAAGTTGCCCCTATAGCATTTATTTTGTGGTCCCTAATTTGCCAATTTGGTAAGCTCTCTTCATCAAATGATATGTTCTCATTTGTATTTGAGCCTTTTTCTGGATTTTATACTCTGTGACATCAGAAATCTCTCTGTCCATACATGATCCTACGCTGGGCTAATTCTAGAGCTTGGAACTCCCTTTCAGCTAAGCCGCCTCCTGGGTGTGCACCTGCAGTGGTCAGGCCTGGCTGCCTCTCACTCTGGTGCTGTGCTGGTCACATGTGGGTCCCCTGAGGCATCTCACTGCCTGCTCCTCCCTGGTCTTTCCTGATGGCAAATGAATCCTGATACTCGGTAATAAATTCCTCTAGTCACCCTCTAGTATCACATGACTATAGGAGCTTCCTCTCTTGTAAATGCTTTCTCTCATGAGCATAAACCTTTAGAAATCACCATTTACGAAATAATAGGAAGCAACATCCTGCTTTTATCATGAGAAATTGATTCCAACCCAATATTTTTAAACAATGTAAGTGTTGAATACAATCTGTCTTTTCCAGAATTAAAGACTGTTTCCTTGACACCTTTCCTATTATCTCAACTGGATTTTTGCCAGATTCTCATTTTATTAGAAGAAAAGTTTGACAGTATTCATACCTTAAAGATGTAAGATGAATTTGGAAAAAGACAATGATATGCTTCAAAAAAATAAGGTAAACTTTCTCCCTATTAATATTTATCTTGAGTTAAAATTTTAATTTTGAACTATGCTTAATATACTCAACGGCTAAATCTCAGGTTTGCTCAGATGGTCATGAAGAAACAGATATATTGGTTCTGTATATAAAAACAATATCTGTCTTCAGAACATTTATTACCATTATATGGTTCAGCCTTTAGTAATCAAGGAACGTATTAGGAAGAATGTTTTAAGAAAAACAAGTTCGCCCTGGTGATGTGATTCAGTGAATTGAGCACCAGCCTGCTAACCAAAAGGTCACTGACTCAATTCCTGGTCAGGACACATACCTGGGTTGCGGACCAGGTGCCCCAGTTGGGAATGTGCAACCAATTGACATATCTCTTGCACCTTGACACTTCTCACCCTCTCTCCCTCCCTTTCCATCTCTATAAAATAAATAAATAAAATATTTTTATTTTTGTTTAAGTACAGCTATCTCCATTTTCCCTCCCCCACTCCCCCCATCCTACCCTCCCCCTCCCTCAATCCTACCCCGCTCTGTCTTTGTCCATGGGTCCTTTATACATGTTCCTTGACAACCTTTCCCTTTTATCCCTGTTATCCCCCTCCCCCACCCCTCTGGTTACCATCAATTTGTTCATGTCAATGTTTCTGGTTATATATATAAATACCATATGATCTCACCTATGAGTGGAACTTAATCAACAAAACAAACAAGCAAAATAAAATCTATCTTTTTAAATCCTTAAAAAAAAAAGCCAGTTCAAGATTTCCACCTAATAGGAACAGAGGCCCCATATAAGCATTTATATTAAATAAAGTAAAAATAGAGTGTGTGTCAATATTGGAAGGTCTCAATTAGTATTACTCAGCACCCTATTTGTGTCTAAGAAATAAGGTACACTGAACACTCTATTCCATGGAGAGGCTGAGGAAAGAGAATTCTGGGTAAAGTGAGAGTTTTCAGGGGAAAAATATACACATGGCAAAGCAGAGAGTGTCAAAAATATTATTTTAATTAAAAATTTAAATGTGTCAGGTGGAAGAGATCCCTGGGGCAGAGATGACTACTTTTATTTAAAGTGCATCTCATGTTTAGAAAGAACAGACTGTGTTAAGGTGAATGAAACAAGTGATTTCACCCACATTAATTTAAATATTTAAACTCTCTATAGTAAGAAAAATCGGCAACATCCCAAATAAAAAAGGTAAATATGAACTACTTTATACTTATATTAAGCTTTAGTACGTTTTTAAATTTAAAATTAATATTTAACTTATAATAGGATATTTGTCATTGTAATAAAGCAAACTTTCATATTCTAATTCTAGTAAGTAAAATTTATAATGAAATGATAAATAGTGGTGTTAAGTCACTTCAAAATACTGAAAACTATAATATTGAAGAATATTTTCTAGGTATAGATAACATTACAGAAAGCTTCATTTTGAGCCAACACATAACAAATAAGTTTAATATTCATGTATTCAGCTTGATATTGTAATAGGAGATTTAAAGTAAAACAATCCATGAAATAAATGTACAACCATTAGGGAATCCAAAGAACATTTATTTTAATGGAAAAAAGATATAATTAATCACGTTCAATAGAAACTCTTAAGTTCTACATTGTGTTTTATTAATGTCAATAATTAATTTGACATTTTATATCCAATATATAAATATAACTGAAGCTTAGGTAGCTTCTAATATGTAACAAATTAAAATATTGTACATATTCCCTTAATTATTTGGATTTATTCAAGGAATAAAGGCTGGAGTTTAAAATAAAACTATTTTATTTTATCTCTGTTGAATAACAAGAACTTAAACATTTACAAGAAAGAAGTGTAATCAGATAACCTTGTTAAAGCACAAAAAATAAATCTGTTCTTTCCACCTTGTTCCCCTCTAGAGAAAAACATGCATAGGAGAAACACACTTTCCAGATGGTACAATGCAGAATCAACCACCTGTGAAAATAAGTCAGTGCTTCTTAAATTTTGTACCCAAGAGGTGTCACTCTCCTTACTGTAGTCCTGGCCCCAATAAAATGAATGGGAAACAATGGGAAAAAGTAATTACCAACACATAACTCAATAACTTCATTAAGTACGATTTTACTAGGCAAGGTGTTTCAACCCTGAAGACTAAAGATTTAAGAACATAATATCATACTCATAATTATAATTATAAAACCATAACTAATAACAGATATTGACAGGAAATTTTACCAATCATATTGGAAGTAAGCCTTGGAAAATTTAAACAATTGTTTCATTTCACACCAAGTTTAGAGTTAGGAGTCAAACTCAAGTCCAATAATTTTTAAAAATCCTAAGCTCTGACGTGCCATCTTAAAACTTTTGTGCAAATGGTCAAATTACCTGTCATTAGTCAGTGTCAGTATCTTTATGTCTAAAAACACTGAGCTTAGAAGTGGTTGCCTAAAGTGTTGTTTTTAAGGAACAACAAAGACACTGGAGGGGCACCCAACACATGAGGTAAACATCCCAGGTGATGCATTTCACCCCTGCCCACACGCATGCACACAGGTAACACACAGGACTGGCCTCGTTATGTGTGTTACTAGGCCAGTCCTGTGTTTCCAGAGCTTCCCTCTTTACTGCTTCTATCTGTATCTGTGTTCCCAGGCAAATTTTCTAGAATAGAACCCTCTTATATTCCCCACTCAGTATTCTACAAAAAAATAATTTGTTTTATTCCACGATGTGCAATAAAATTCTCATTCTCTCTCTCTCTCCCCCTACCCCTCTCCTTCTCTCTGTAAACTACTAATAATATGAATTGTATAATAAGGATATGTATGTTCAAGGTAATCAAATGATGGAAGAGAAATGAAGAGTTGCACTGGGCAATTAAAAAGTATAATTTTTTAATATAGAACTGGGTTGTAAAGAAGTGTAATTCATTAAAAGACAGATTATATGGCAAATCTGTGGGTCTGTCTTTCAACAACAGCCGTTTTTCCAGTGTCTGTGTTGAGTAGAACATAATTTGGTTTATCCTGAGCTGTATTCAGGAAGGATGAACAATGATCTTAAAAATAATTTAAGGGAATTTTACAGTGATAATGTTTAGTATCTACACTGAAAAGTAGGAAATGTATTAATAATAATATTCTTATATTAGAAACAATTGCAGTGACCATGAAAACCAATCCAAATGTCCAGTTACAATTTAAAGAACAGGCACTTATCCATGAAGGTAAAAATGAAAGCACTGGGTAAATTTCTTCTTTCCACAGATGAAGCACCAAGAAAAACCACCAGAGGAAAATCTAACTAAATTGATAGAATTTGTTCTCTTGGACTTTGCTGATGTTCCCCATCTTCAGTGGTTTCTATCTGGATTATTCTTAACCCTCTACATCATGATAATGATTGGCAATGGCACTGTATTTATAATAACGAAACTAGACCCTGCTCTCCAGACCCCCATGTACTTTTTCATTGGCAATTTTGCCTTTTTGGAAATCTGCTCTGTGTTGGCTATACTTCCCAGAATGCTTACGAACCTTTGGACCCAGAGAAGAACAATATCTTTAGTGGCCTGTGTTGCACAAATGTGTTTCTTCCTTGTCCTGGGAGTCACTGAGTGTTTCCTTCTGGCCGTGATGGCCTATGACCAGTATATGGCCGTTTGTCACCCTCTGCACTATCCCCTAGTTATGAACTACAAGCTCTGCATCCAGCTGGTGGCTGGCTCCTGGATCAATGGCATTCCAGTCCAAATAGGGCAGACATTCCAGATTTTCTCTCTTCCTTTTGTAGTTCTAACGTCATCAACCACTTCTTCTATGACATCCCCCGAATACTCACGTTGGCCTGTGGGAACACCGTTGTAAATGAAATGCTAGTCTACGTAGTTACTGTGCTGTTCATCGCCATTCCTTTTCTGTTGATACTTGTCTCCCATGGCAAAATCATCTCTACCATTTTTAAATTGCCAGCAGCCACAAGTCAGACCAAAGCCTTCTCCACCTGCTCCTCTCATCTTATAGTTGTGGCGCTGTTGTTTGGATCAGCCATTATCACATATTTAAGACCCAAGACCCAAGACTCAGCAGGAACCGACAAAGTGCTTTCTTTTTCCTACACTATCATGACTCCCTTATTTAACCCCATTATATACAGTTTTAGAAACAAGGGTGTCATAATGGCACTGAAGAAACTGCTCTGTAAATAACCTACTTCATGTATTAAAAAATGAGTCTATTTACAGGAATTGGTATCTTACAGATTTTTAATAAAATTTCAACAGCTATTTTTCTTCAGTTAAATTTACCTATTTCCAAAGTAAAAGTTAGTTAAAACGTTGAGAGACTTTTCTGTTTTCAGCTGTACAGCTATGTATCTGTCCACAAAGAGCAAATCACTCTTTGGTGCATTGTATAATTTTATTGTGAAATGTCCCTTTGCAGTAAGAACTTTTCACAAGGACCAATGTAATAGACTCAATTGTAACACAGTCTCTGCTATATCATATATTGGACACTATAGCACTCATTTTCATAATTTGTCACAGAAATTTTAATTGGAATATTAATTAAAATTTTATATATATTTAGGCCTAGCAATGACTCAACAGAGAAATTTTTTTAGAGAAAAAAACCCTTTCATTAGGAATGTAGTTTTATGCAATAAATGATGTTGCTACAATGATACTAGTGAATATTAAGCATGACTTATGTGTATATCAAATTAAATATTTTATAAAATATAATCCACTGATATGATAGAACTATTATTATTAAAATATTTACATATAATAAGAAGAGCTTAGAGTAGTGATGGGAATGTTCACAAGTTATTGTTTTTAAGTATATTTTCCTAGAGATGATAAATGGAATAGGAAAACTGGGGGAAAGGAAATAAATGTTTATAAAAGTAAGCATCTCCTATAAAAACACAGGTATCTCATGCATACTTTGTGCACCATGTTTACACACAAATTAGAAATGGTCAATAAAAATATAATCATCAATGTTAATTTTGGAAATCTCAGGGTAAATCATTTTATTATTTTTTCTTTTGTTTTACTGAAATTTTGCAGTGTATTACAATAAACCTGTGGTATTTGTGTAATCATACAAAGAAAACAATAAACTTGTTTCATTTTGAATAAGTAAAAATCATAACCTGTGTATGCTATTTTTCTATTGATATTCTTTTCACGCTCTCATGCTTATCTAATGAATCCTTGGTACAGACAGCAGCGGATCTCTGCAGGACCAGAACCTGTCACTAACTCTCGGAGTTAAAAAGAACGTGGTGAAGCTTGCATTTTTTCCATTAAAAAAATAAAAGTCAATTTTGCTTATACACATGAGCATGACTCACTCCACATAAGTAGACAAGGATAGTAATACTTTCTCCCTGGAAGAAAATAGCCAGATGATGTGTGAACAACCCTGATAATAAACCTAAGAAAAAAGTCAATCCTGGTTGAGAGCAAAGCAAGCAATTAAGGAATCACCAAGATTCTAAGAAGATGAAGCTATCAGAAAGTAGAAAAATCTAATGGAAATGAGTGCAGACAGGGGAAGGATAAAAGAAAGAAAAAAGTAATAACAACAAAAAAATCCCAAGAAAATTTCCAGGCAGGAATTGTATAATCCCGAAGCTGTTAGAGGCAGAAAGAACTGAGGCAGAGGTTAAGATGTCTTTTCATTCTCACTGTCCTTCCTGCATAATATAGAAAAAGTGTTTGGGTGAGAAAAGATAACAGAAGGAAAACCATTAATATCTCCAATAGATACTAACTCTTTTTATAGAGGACAAATGAGAGCTATGTTCTTGGAGCACTATGATTTTTTTAGTAAATAATAAAGTTTCACACAGTAAAAATCAGTGAGCAATTTCAAAAATTATTTTCTCCCTAAACTAGGCAACTCACAAACATACCTAAAGTAGTCATTACACTCAGTAGTAATGTGGCTGAAGTGTATATGCATCATTAGTTTTTTAAACATATATGTGTGCAGTTACTTTCTTTTTTGACATGCGATATTATTTTATATTAGCGGCAAGTGTACAGCATAATGCTGAAACATTTGTATAATTTACAAAGTGATCCCCCCAATAAGTCTCATACCATCCTGGTGCCATACATACTTATTACAATGCTACCAACTATGTTCCCTAGGCTGTATTTTACATCTCGAACACTATTTTATAACTACCAGTCTGTACTTCTTTATCACTTCATGTTGTTCTGTGAAATTACTTTCAAAGTTTTGTAAATTCTACATATCCTTATTAGAAAGATAATCTTTATTTCTCATTACTTTGAATGGCACATTTGGCAAAACAGTACACTTACAGTGTTAAGCATTGACTTTTCTCCTTTAGAAACACAACATTTATTTACATGGAGACTCATGACTGTGTGCCTGTGTGTCCGTGTGTGCATACATGTGTTTGTGTGTGCGCTACAGGGAAAGAATATTGCTCTCCCTGACAGAAGTCAATTGATAATGATGATAGAGGTGGTCAGTTCTATGTGTGAAATCTTTACAAGACTACTAGCCTGATTTTGGAAAAGTAAAGAGTAAATATGTCTTCAATTTGAATCTGGACTTTTAGCTATGAATTCTTTTTTTTTATTGTTATTCAGTTACCTTTGTCCCTTCTTTTTCCCATTGCTCTTCCCTGCCCCATACGCCACCCACAGTCAATCCACACCCCATTGTCCATGCCCATGAGTCCTCTATTCATGTTCCTTGACTTGCCCCTTCCCCTTCTTTCTCCTGTTATCCACCTCCTCCTTCTCTTCTGGTCACTGTCAGTTTGTTCTTTATTTCCATGTCTCTGGTTCTATTATGTTTGCTTGTTTGTTTTGTTGATTACAATCCACTTATAGCAGAGATCCTATGGTATTTGTCTTTCACAACCTGGCTAATTTCACTTAGCATAATGCTCTCCAGTTCCATCCTTTGCTATCACAAAGGGGAGAAGCTCCTTCTTTCTTTCTGCTGCATAGTATTCAATTATGTAAATGTACCACAGTTTTTTGGTCCACAAAAAAAAAGATGGAACTGCTTTTTGATTCAAATCCCACTGCTGGGATTACACCCTAAGAAAACAGAAGAAAAAAATTCTTTCCTTGTTAGCTTTGGTGTAAGCTTAGAGTACTTAACATTTTTAAGCCTCACTTTCTTCATCTCTTGATCACAGGCTTAATAGAGACATTAAAGGAGAAATATATATAAATTCAGGCATTTATGATAGCTGAAGAGCATTCTTAAGATCTTACAGAGACAGCTAACTCCTAATCAGGAGCTAAAGCCCTGGAGCTGGAAGAAGATATGGTTTCCTCCCCAGCCTAATGTCAGGACGTGAAGTCTCCAAGATCCATTACAGCCTGCTCACCCCACTGGCAGATTCCCTTGTGATCCCAGCCTTGGGGGCCTTGGGGCTCTCTGCCATCCACCTCACAATTTGTCTTACTGATGCTGCGTTCACTCTTGCAGCTGAGTAGAGGTAATTCATGGCTGCCCATGTGGCCACACCATTCACACGTCCAGGGCAAATCCCAGGGCCCACTCTGCTAATCTAAGTTCCAGACCCCACACTGCCAAGAAGCGAGTTCAGATCATTAATCCCACAGTACCTCATTTCACGTTGTACTGTTTGGCCCTGTCCAAAGGACTGGGGCCAAAAACGCCCATTTAGCTAGAAAGGAACCAATATTCATCCATTACAATAAACTCATGCACTCTGGACATCTTCTGCGCAGTACTTAGAAAACAACATTTGGTTCTCATCACTCTCAGGAAGCCATTCCATTCTTCTCTATTGGAACCCCACTTTGGCCAGAACCCTACCTCACCACTGATCTTCAAAGACAAACCCCTTTTAGGAAAGCTACCTTGCATTGCAGTAAATGGAACTGCCATCTAGACTATAACCCAACATACATTTTCACTATCAGAAGGCTTTCCTCGCTAATCCGTCCCCTCTCCCTCTATTCAAACTCACCCAAGGTGTACTAGATCTGTCCAGAAGGTATCCAACCATGGAATAGGCTAAACCGAGATATTTATTGAAGAAGATGCAAGGTATTATCACATAGGACAATGATGCCTCAGTCCCCTTCAAAGGATGCACGTCGAGAACTCAGTGGTTCTCCCAGTCACCATCAGTTGCCCCATTAAAAATTCCCGAATCTCATCAATGGCCTGTAATCTCTTCCCTTTGAAAGGTTATTTTAGTTTTGGGAAAAGCCAGATGTCAAGGGGCATCCTCTGAGCTCTAGGGGGTGTGCATCACCTGGGTGATTGGCTGCTTAGCCCAAAAGATCTTCACGAGACCTGATTCATGAGGGGGCATGTTGTTGTAATGAAGCTGCCAATCACCCGTTGCCCATAGCTGCGGACTTCTGAATCATCCCAGCGTTTTCCACAGGGGAATGTTCAGGCTTAATGCAAATGTGGTGCAGATCCATTGTTCCACTCCTTTAGTCATTTTGCATGCCACGGCCACACTGCACACATGCTCACTCAATGGAATCTGCCTTCCCAAGTGACTAGTCCAGGGAAATGATCAAGACTCACTCATGCGCATTCTAGTCCACTCTCCTTGGCTGCCAGGTTACGTCAATGTGGCACAAAATGCTCTGCTTATACTGACAATGGCTGGACTATTTGTGGATGCACTTTCTCTGCTTTCGTTCAACTTCCCGGTCCCAACTTCCGTAGGGTACGTTCCCTAAGAAGACAACTGCACTGTCATCCCACCATCCATAGTTCCAGGTTCCATCTCTGGCTCCTGAGCATAATCTCCTTCAGTAATTCTGTGTAATGAATCAGTGTTTCACGTCAAATCCTTAACTGTAGTTCTTGATTTCTGTTCAGGCACTGATATCTCCAAACATAAGCACCACCAGGGATGACAGGGTCTCTGTATCATCATCCAAGCAAATAGCTCCACAATGGTAAAAATCTGGTTAGCAAAATGTGTTAAATCAAAACTGAAATAATTCTCATTGTATCTATAAGTGTGTGTCTCCATCTGAAGAGGCAGCATTTCCATTGACCTTGAAATCTTCTGTAGAAACGTGCTCTCAATTGCGGAGGCACCGACAGCAGTGTTGAGCCTCTGGGTCTACTCACAACTCACCGTAACTGTGACCTTTGACAAACCACTTGTTCTCTTTGAACCTCAGGTTCCACTCTGTCAACTGAGGGACTTGAACTCAAAAACCTTAATTGTTTATACAAGATACCACGTCCTGGGTTATATTAATATGAATCTGTCAATGCACACACCCATTTCTCTCTGGCGTGACTGAGAAAATGACCAACGCAGAAAATACATTCATAGCAAAGGAAAACATTCCATCTGCAGGACAACGGACATGAGAGCAAGTGGCAACGACGGCACAGAGGTAGACCGTTGGGGGTGCAGTAATCCCACTGTGTTCAAGTTCCACCTACTGAACAGGCCTTCGATGCCACGTTTTCCCTCAGACATATACTTTATGACAGCGAATACTCAAATTTGTTAGTTTTCAGGACCATCAAATACTCAAAAAAAATGGCCAAAAGTAAAGGATAGACACTATTAAGTATTGGTGAAGATGTTCCACAAGGGACTCACACCAGGAAAGTGTGTTATGGCAGGGTGGATTGGCAGACTTCGTAGAGATCAGTATGATGATATTTACTAAATCTAAATTTTCTGCACATGCGCACGTACATTTTCAACTCCTGGCTTTAAATACAACGTAAATGTGCATATATGCCTACCAAAGGTACTACAATGTTCACACTAAAATTATTAGTAATAACAAGAGAAACAACTCAGCATCCTACTCTGCACTTTAAAGTAGATGAATTAAAAATGATACAGTTGTAAAAAGAATGCTATACAACAGAGGGAATCAATGTTTTCCAACTGAATGTATCGATCTGCGCAACCGTGTAATTGACTAAAGCAGCACAAGCTATAGGCGTCTGCTGGTGTATGGCTCAAAACAACATAAAACCAATTTATCATGACAAAAACCAACTATGTAGTTATTCCTTGGGGTGAGGAGACTACTGACTTAAGAGGATAGCTCCGTGCCCTGACCGGTGTGGCTCAATTAGTTGTGTGTTGTCCACATTGTGAAATGTTGCCAGTTCAATTCCCAGTCAGGGCACATGCTTGGGTTGCAGGTTCAGTCCCTAGTCGGGGCACATGCAAGAGGCAACCAATTGATCTTTCCCTCTCACATCAATGATTCTCTCCCTCTTTGTTTCCCTTTCTTCATCTCTTTCTAAAAATAAGTTATTATTTTTTTGTTTACTAAAAGGATATCCTCAAGTAGAGGGCTTTGGTGATTCTGATAGTGTTCTATTTGTGGTTTTGGCCCTATTTATAACAGTATTTATTTTTAAATTGATCTAGCTGTATACTTATCATTTAAGTGTTCTCCTCTACATTACATCTTAAAAAGGTTTTCCAAAAAGCAATTCTATTTTTGCACCAGCATATTCTGAGAAATTTCAGACATTTCTTACTGTAAAATGTTTATTTACAGTGCTACCTCATCTACAACAAAGTTCAGCATATTTTTGTATAATAATGGAGCAACTCATAGAATATTTCTGTGAGACTATTTCTTTCATTATCAATGATTACTGTATTTTTTTAAATATGAGCATTTCTAGTATTGTTTCCAGGAACAAGAGACCAGTGAACCTGGTTTCCCTTGGTGCCATTTCCAAGCATAAGTTGCCAGAACTGGAATTGTTGGGTCAAGAAGCAGTACCATTTTCAATTTTTTGACTTAAGTCCATACTGCTCTCCACCCTGGCTGTACCAATCTGCATTCCCACCAAGACTACATGAGGATTCCCTCTTCCCCATACCAAAGAAATACAAAGGGTTGTGAGGAAATATTACAAGTACCACCATGGCAACCTTCTGGGCAATCAGGATGAAACAGATAAATTCCTAGAAACATACCATCTTCCAACACTGAATTGAGAAGGATCAGGGATTCTGAACAGACAGATTTCAACTAGGGAAATTGAAGTAGTAATGAAAACCTCCCCCCAGAAAAACTCCTGGACCTGATGGCTTCTCAGGTCAATTTTACCAAACATTCAAAGAGCTACCTCCAGACAACTTTTAAGAATTTAAAGAAAATTCTAAAAGACTCTAGGTTGCTTGTTACATCTAGGTTTCAACCTTTGTTTCATACAAAGACTTTATTAGAAACAATTCAGGATATATGTAACATAAAACATATGATAATATATGGTGATTATTATACAACATAAAACATCTTGCTGTGGCAAAAAAGCCAAAACTGACTTTATTTAAATGCAAAAGTACATGCTTTTAAAGGCCTTTTCTTACCATTTATTTTTCAGGAAAAACTAGGTATGATAAATTATGCATGTATAATTTTACTCATGTTGAAATTTTATGACATGAAGTATCTACATAAACTATAGGGCATGAACAAACAAGAACGAAAAAATAATATAGAAAAGGTTGTATTGACATTATTTGTAATAATTATTTAGATATAAGCTGTATTTATTCTGATGTAATTTTAGTTTAAAAATTAAAAATCCCATAATAGACAACAAAATTTAGTTTTCCCTAAGCACCATGATTATAGTCTATTTTTTCTGTTTTTACAAAGCACTTTATTTTCTGAAACTGTTTATGAGTGTTTGAATATGTGTGTCTTTGTGTGTAACCTGAGTGGGGTTTTTTTGTAAATTATGAGATTAAAACAAAATGCCTGTATAAGGCTCGGTGGGCTGGGAGTAAAGAACCCTCAGTGTGGTCATTTTACTCTTGCTAAGTAAATACAATATTAGGCAATAAGGGGGACAGGGACAGAAGTAATATTTTAAAAAGGTCCATGTCCCTCTCTCAACTGCCCGGCCTGTAGGGAGTAACAGATGATGACACATCTTGTTACACCCGTCACCTAGTCCTGAGAGACCAGCACCCAGGCCCAGGCACAGCCCCGGTAACATAAGCAGGCCACTGAGAGACAGGGCTGAACCCTCTGCACACAGGCTCCGGGCAACGGAGGAGTCGGTGCTCTGCGACAGGTACAGCTGTTTCTCATGCTTTTCCAGTTTCTATTTTATATTTCTTTAGTTTTTTATCTTTATTGGACTGAAACCATGTTGTGAAACCAGTGGGGAGTGTGAAATATTATACAGACTTTTAGTTACTTTTACCACTCTCGTTATTTTAAAGACATTCACAAATGGCAAGGAAGAATAAAATGTGAATATCTTTCATGACGGTGGATCGAAATTTTTTGTTTTTAATCTCTTACCTGTATTTCTACATATTTTACAAATATTTTTATTTTGGAATGAAGTTGTTTTTTATAAAAAATGTCTCTACAAGCACAAATAATTGCATGAGCTCAGACCAGGTGTTCTGCAGACCTGTATGTGGATGACTACATCATTATTCCAATGTATTTCTCTGTCTGTCCTACATTCAACTCACTTCCTTATATTTTCAGAACCAGAATCCCACATATTATATTATATATGATACACTTGATGTGTGAAATATAACAGTAGAACAAAGAATTTAATTGGCTTTCCAAGGACCAATACACTTAACCAAAGGAAAGCAGATTTCACAGATACTCAAAAGAAAGGGAATCAAAAAATTAATAAAGCAATATTACAATTTCTAGGGGGTTGGGATGGGGCACAGTTCAGACATTAGTTTCTCAGGCTAGGGGACTGTGGACAAAAGAAAACGTTTACCTCGCATCTTGCACATCTGATCAACTGGTGAATAGATTGAGTGGATTCTAGCAGATTAGAACAGAGGGTCTCATACGTTGATCCATACTTGTCTCGGGGTCACCTGTGCTTCCAGGATGTCTGCTATCAAGTACTAAAATTTCTTCATAATTTCCCTGAACAAAGTTGTAAGTGAGAGCATGGATCACACTAGCGTATTCCTGTTTGTTCACTCTAATGTATCATTCATGGAGACCCCTCCAACTTCTTCTCTAGTGAACCCTCCCTGTTCTGGGAGTCAAGGGTCACAGACTAGCTTTGTCCCTTGTTAACTGAGGCTGGATAGGACAGTAGGATAATGGGAACGGTGGAACATGTTACATCAAGAACCAAGCTGAAGGTCTGACTCCATTACAATATTGGATCATGAGGGAAAAACAAAGACATATATTAGATACCTGCATCTCTCAGTTGACTATTCTTCTTTATTGCAGACTATAACACTACTTATACTACATTGAGAAAAGAAACAACCTTGTTATAAGACGGGGCTTATGTGGACCAAATAATTGTAAGAGCTACTAGCTTGACTCTGACAACACCAATTTATTAATCTATGAGCTGGAAAAATAGTGCATTGGTTGGTATGGAAATAAAATTATTTCATTTGGATCAAAGCATACTACATACTCTATAAAATGGGAGACAAATGTAAGCAGTATTATCATATTATCAATTAATATTAAAGTGAAAATGTTGCAGAGAATCAAATTCCTTAAGGAGGTTGAGCATTATTTATCTTTTTCCAATTACCAACATAGAAAGAACCAGCAGTTTAAGTTCTAGGACAGTGAGATGACTTTCCCTCCACTTGCATTTTCTTCCACTACAACAAGGGATCTCCAGGCCTGAGTGATGGCCGTTGAGAACTGCACTGTGTTTGCGGACTTCATTCTCTTAGGACTCTCTGGCAGACAGGATGTGCAGCAGGGGCTCTTCGTGCTCTTCCTGCTGGTTTATGGCATCACAGTGATCGCCAATCTAGGGATGATCCTGCTGATCAACGTGGACCCCCGACTCCACACGCCCATGTATTACTTCCTGAGCAATCTGTCTTTCTGTGATGTCTGCTACTCCTCCACGATCTCTCCCAAGATGCTGGCTGATTTCTTATCTGAGCATAAGAAGATCCCATATAATCTATGTGTGGTTCAGTTGTTTTTTTTTGGTGCCTTTGCAGCTGTGGAATGTGTCATGCTGTCTGTCATGGCGTATGACCGCTACGTAGCCATTTGTAATCCACTTCTGTATTCAGTGACCATGTCCAGGAGAGCATGCGTCCAGCTTGTGGCTGCTGCCTACACGGCAGGTTTCATAGATACCACCATCTTTACCTATTGCGCAATTCGATTATCATTCTGCAATTCCAATGTCATCAATCATTTTTTCTGTGACTTCCCACCCTTACTAGCTCTCTCCACCTCAGACACAACCATCAGTGAAATAGCATTGACTGTTTCCTGTAGCTGTATGGTGGGGTCCAGTGTCATCATTGTCCTCCTCTCCTACAGCTACATCATTACTACAATCCTGAGAATGAAATCGACCGAGGGCAGACGCAAAGCCTTTTCTACCTGTGCCTCCCACTTAACCGCTGTGGCTATATTTTATGGGACACTCCTGTTCATGTATTTCCGGCCCAACTCGAGTTACTCCATGGACACAGACAAAGTGGCCTCTGTTTTCTACACAGTTGTTGTCCCCATGTTAAACCCACTGATCTACAGCTTAAGGAATCAGGATGTGAAAGGCGCCCTGAATAAAGCAATTGGCACCAAATTTTTCTCTGAATGAAAGTGTGTTCAATAACAAAGTTTTGTATAGTGATGTTGACAGGAAGAGTTTTCTGTAGCCTCTCCAATACAATTCTGGATATTTCTTTATCTAGCTTTGTGCGTAAATTGAATGTAGAGATTAGTCATAATGAATCTTTAAGTCTTCAATTTAAGGAAGGGGAATAGTAGTTTTACTCTATAGTTTTGCAAAGAAGATCTTTGTGTACTGCTCTGCTCTATTTGTGGGTATATATCCCAGAGAGATATGGGCATAGAACAATCTCCCTGCATGCTTAAATCTCCAGAGGTTTAAGTTAGCTTTTGTTGTCTCCCTATGTGCTTGGACCATTTTATAAATTTGCTATCATAACACTTGGAAGTCATTAGCATTTAAATTAATAATAGTAAGTTAAAATTACCTTGCCATAGCTCAAAGTCCCATAAATGCTAGACTCTTTTTCATCTTCTTCATCATTAATTCTACTTTACTATTTACTTTGCTCATTTTCATGATGCCATTCACAAATATTTATGAATGAATGTAGGTGTGTCCCCTGCAAGACAGATGAAAAAGGCAGGTTTTGTGAATGAAAATGAAAAGAACTTTCTTTGTTTTAATTTATTCTAATATGTCCATCCTACAAAAATCCACCTGTACTTATTCTTTGACCCAGGCTGAGTAAATACTAGGGACAAGGACCATTTCTCCCCCAGCAATCGGCAGGATCAGCAGCTCTAGATTTATTCAGCTCATCATAGTCTTCACATTAGACTGTGAATTTCCCCTCTTGCCCTCACTTTGGGGAACAGATACATGCCCTTGACAACTGTACAGAAACTGCGTGAATGGCACTTGGGGGTATAGGACATTGACCTTCTCTAACAGCCACTATCCCTTTAATGTATAAAGTGTGCTATTACGTTTGTCTTTTACAATATGTTCATAGCATTATACTAATTAACTTTTTTTAAAAAGCTCAAATACCCAGCTGATATAGTTTAATTTGAAAAGAATTATTAACGGAAATTTATGTTCAATGTAGAAAAAAACAAACAAGTAGTATTTACATTAGCATTCCAGTTGTAGTGCCTTAATTTGATTCTCTATGAATCTGTAAAATAAACTGAAACCGTATTCTAAACAACATTTTAATAGGAGTCGTTGCTTAGTGGTTGGATGTTAAGCAATGCTAAAATCTATTTTAATAGCTTCAGTTAATAGTACCGGATGTTTGCACTATTATTGAATAACTAATAATACCGTTATGTTAAAAACATTATATAATTTCTAGTTCTCAGAGTATTCATTTAATTGAATGAGGTTGCCTTTCTGTAAAAAAAAGAAAAAAGAAAAAAAACTGGAGGCTCTGCCTTCTTCCTGGAGGACAGAACAATTGATTATGCAAGAATTTTCATGCAGATCCCCTTCCGTTTACGCGCGCGCGCGCGCGCGCGCACACACACACACACATCCTTTTACTGTATGAAGTGTGCTTAATGTATGTACCTCAAACATAATAGTGAAACAACACCCGTTTCAGCTCTGCTTAAATGTCCCATTTTTAAATCACAGACAACTCTCTCCTTCAAGCATTGTGTTGAGATCATTCTGTTATTGTATCACAATCTCCTATGTGAGACTGCGAGCATTCCTCGCCCAAGGACTGAGCATTTCATGTCTATGACCCAAAGCACCTGCATGGGTAACACAGTGACACAGAATGACAAAGCCGGCAAATATATACAAAAATGAAATGTTAGATAACATTTTAGCTTTTATTAGATGTTACTAAAACAACAAATTTCAGGGTATGAGGCATGACAATACATATTTCATCACTCTTCAGAGAGCAAAGAAATGGTTGTTGTGGACACTAAGGTAATGGATCTGTGAAGGCCTACACATCAGTTATGCTCTAAGTAAAGAGCATTCATCTCTGAACATTTCTCACATTTGGCTAGTTCACCTATCTCTCTGCTCCAGTGGCCACCTGAACCCTAATATGAGCAACCGTATAGTAGAATACATGTATTTTTTAATCAAAAAGAGCATGTATTTTTTGTTTTTTTTATCCAAAACATATTTTTTATCAAAGATCATCTTTACAGTGTCAGTGGAGGTACACAAGGGTATAAGGGTAATAAATGGTAATGAAAAAATGCATTTAAAAAAATCATCTTCACACATATGAACTACATTAGCAAAATCAGCTTTCTACGGCTGTTCATTTCTATAATTTGCTGAACATCCACTAGCCAACAACAGAAAAAATTGAAAATACACATTTACTGAGTCATTACTCATGTAACTTGTATGCTAAGCATTGTGAGAATGTAGAAAAACATCATACCTAAGTTGATTAGATAGATAGAATGATTGATTTAAATACATATATACATATATATGTAAAATACAAAATTTGTGTACCAGGAGAATTTGATGTTAAACAATGAAGGAAGAGCAGAATATACCACCCCAAACTATACCACTTGGGCATAATGATCATTTTCAAATACTGTTGGTTAGAAAGCTGGTGTCTTGTCATATATTGGAGGCAACCACAGCTCCTTGGTTCACACACCCTTTGCATTTACTCTGAAGTACTGGGATAAAAATGTTTAGTCATTTTTTCCTGTGCTCCCCTCCCCTGTTTAAGCTACCGAGCACAGGCACATCAATTAATGAGTGGCTTCACCCTATGTGAAGTCACCTATGGTCACTAATGGAAATTGTCTGTTTCATCACATCTTCATCTCCTACTTTTTCACCCTTTCCTCAGGCTTACAGAAAGCTTTTCCTGCGGAGGAGGAAACCTTCCCTACATGGGCCTCTCAAATGACTTCTCTGGCCACCCATGAGAGGATTCTTCTCCCATTGTTCGCAAATTTATCTCCATTCTACACCATGATTGTCCTTGTGATGAACCTGTTGATCTATAGTTTGACAAGAAATATGCAGATGACACCACTAAGAAAGCCACAGGGCTGCAGGTAGATTCCTTGTGAGATATGACCTTGCAAGAGTCATCTAATTCCCTATTACAAGCTCTAACTTAGACCCACAACGCACTCAAGCACACACACATCCTCTCTCACAAGAATTTCATTAAACATTCGTTTTTCATATAGTCAGCTGCAGTTTATAACCCCAACATATAAGAAAATTTAGATATTTAAAATTGCTCCTTGATGTTATTGCTACAATGGTTTGTAGCTGGTTGTTTTAAAGGATAAAATAAATATGTCAGAAAAGCATGTGTGTGTTTCTGTGTGTGATCATGTACAGATTGTCCATTGACAAGGGTAGATTACTGGATGAGGGAAGAAGTCAGATTCCCTTGATTCACACGCCAGGTCTGTACCCTTCTATTGAGGAGCACATTCAACAAGTTATTTAGTTATTCTATGCAGTAGCTGTGAACTGGGGAGAATAGAGTACCAGTGTCATCGATTGCTACATGATTAACTGAAAGAATGCTGAGAAGACTGCCTAAGCCATTGAAAGCACTTCAGAGAAGTTAACCATATATATAGCAAGTGACCCCAATAACATTCTTAGAATTATACCCAGGATAAATGAATGAATACTTTCACCCAAAGGCATGTACAAATTATTCACCATTGAATTATTTACAATAGTGTAAACTGAAAACAACTCAATTTGTTTCAACACTTTCAGTCATTAGTTGACAAAATTTTCCTGAAAGTGTTAAGTAGTGTACATTTTTACTGAGGCTGGAAAGGACATGAGGGGTTAATAAGGATATAGGGGAATCCAGATACCCCATATCTCTGTACAATACACAATTGTAAAAATAAAGGGAAAATAAGACAATATATTCATTATTCATACCTATCACCTAGCTATGTTCCTAAATTGCAGGATTTAACACAGTCTCCACAATACTGAAAAGCCACAACAATCCTATCAGAAGATGTGGGTGACTGAACCAATTAATCTAAGAACTATTGCCACAACTGTAAATCATCAATTTCTTAATATACTATAAAGGAGTAACAAAAATTATCTTAAATGCCACATCAGTTCCTATAGAAATAGCATGATTTGATGTAAAAGTGTACATTAAACTCGGTATAATACTATGAAAATGTAAAAGATATTATCATTATCATTTATTGATTTACATTATATAACATGTATTTCCAAAGAGTCAGATTTTCTCATGAAGTCTTAGCATTATTTACTTTTTTTTCCATGTACTGATAAATGGAAAGAACCAGCAGTTTAACTGTTGAGACAGTAAGATGATTTTCCCTCCACTTGCATTTTCTTCCTCCTCAAGCAGGGATCTCGAGGCCTGAGTGATGGCCATTGAGAACTGCAGTGTTTGCGGACTTCATGCTCTTAGGACTCTCTGGCAGACAGGATGTGCAGCAGGGGCTCTTCGTGCTCTTCCTGCTGGTTTATGGCATCACGGTGATCGCCAATCTAGGGATGATCCTGCTGATCAACGTGGACCCCCGACTCCACATGCCCATGTATTACTTCCTGAGCAATCTGTCTTTCTGTGATGTCTGCTACTCCTCCACGGTCTCTCCCAAGATGCTGGCTGATTTCTTATCTGAGCAAAAGAAGATTGCATATCATTTATGTGCCATTCAGATGTTTGCTTTTGGTGCCTTTGCAGATGTGGAAAGTGTCATGCTGTCTGTCATGGCGTATGACCGCTATGTAGCCATTTGTAATCCACATCTGTATACAACAGCCATGTCCAGAAGGGTCTGTACCCAGCTAGTGGCCATTGGGTACATCCAAAGTTTGTTGTGTTCTGCAATCTTTACCTATTGCACAAGATATTATTCAAAAACATTTGTTCAATAAATGAATGTCCTCCGCCAAACTTATACAATAAAGAACATTTGTAAATTTTTTTAAAAATACAGAGTTCTCTTTATTTTATTTCTTCTGTTTCATTATGTTCGTCTTGGACAAAATTCACAGGTGCTCCTTGTCCTTTGGCCTTGGCTGAAAAGTTTCAGGAAGCAGGGATCACATGATACAAAAATCTTCCTGGGTCCTCTATTTGTCATCATTCTGCCCCAAATTTATGAACAGATACCCAAAGGATCAGAAGGTGGATATTTATATGGCTCCTCACAGCATTCACATCAGCCTATGAATCTCCCTTCTTGCCCTCTCCGTGGAGAACAGGCATGACCCTATTGATAAAAGTATAGAAATTGCATGAATGGAAGTTGGCATTAATGACACCAGGACCTCTTGAAGGTCAGTGGAAAATAAAACTCTATCATGATGTGTGTGCATAGCTCCACACTAGTTAAAAATAAAATTTTAAGAAATGAGTTGTCTAATTGATATTGTTTAAATTGTAAAGGCATAGTTAAAAATATGTGTTCAATGGAAAAATAAGGATAAATCATAGTGTTCCATTTGTAATGATTTACATTTGCTGTCTGTATATCTATGCAATAAACTGAAACATTCTATACACGGCTTTAATAGGGTCATCTCTGAGCATTAACACTGTTCCTGTAACTTAATTACTTAATCGCTTCTGTTGTTTCACTTGCAGGCAATTAACAATTAATCAAGCTGTGAAAAACATAACACAATTTCAGATTCTAAAGAGTGCTTGTTTTATTTTATGTTGTTGTCAAGGAAGGAATAAGGACACACTCTTTTCTGGCTCCAGAGAGACAGAGTCTTGGGAAATAGAAGGTTTTTCACTCAGGTCCTCATCCATAATTTTATCTGTCCTTTTAATGTATGAAAGTTTTGAAGGTATATACTTCTAACCATAATAAGAATGAAACAATACATTAAAACATGTGATTTTCAGGAGGTTGTTTGCCTTCAATTACTGATGGAGAGAGTTTCTAGACAAAAATATTCTAGTACTCTTAATACTTTCATTTTATAATATCAAATTATTTAATTGTTGCACATGAAATAATTAATACATGATGACCTCTCAATCATTGTCCAAACCCCTGGCAATGCTCAATTATTTTATTAAAAAACATAATACATATATTCATATCTTAAAAAAATGACCTATTTCTGTTCTGTATATTTGGCTTGGATGGTCATGACTCTTGTATACATTGAGGAAAAATATTTCCCATTCTTTTTTCTTTAACTTTTACTTTTAAAATACTGAATTAATACTTTTAACGCATAGGCAGGAAAGTAGAATTTTTGTTTCCATGTCTCTTATTTTGATTTTACAGAAAACATCAAGATGGGACACAGCTTTAGATTTGAACTGACTTTGAACTGAGACATACCATATTTCAAATCCTTTCCTTGTCTCCAAGAAATTTAGTAAAAAGGAAAAAGAGAAAAAAATTCTCCCTTTGTTAGTTGTGGTGTAAGCTTAGAGTACTTAATCCTTTTAAACCTCACTTTCTTCATCTCTTGATCACAGGCTTAATAGAGACATTAGAAGGAGAAATATATATAAATTCAGCATTTATGCTTGCTGAAGAGCATTCTTAAGATCTTACAGAGACAGCTAACTCTTAATCAGGAGCTAAAGCCCTGTTGCTGGAAGAAGAGATGGTTTCCTCCCCAGCCTAATGTCAGGAGGTGAATCTCCAAGATCCATTACAGCCTGCTCACCCCACTGGCAGATTCCCTTGTGATCCCAGCCTTGGGTGCCTTGGGGCTCTCTGCCATCCACCTCACAATTTGTCTTACTGATGCTGCGTTCACTCTTGCAGCTGAGTAGAGGTAATTCATGGCTGCCCATGTGGCCACACCATTCACACGTCCAGGGCAAATCCCGGGGCCCACTCTGCTAACCTAAGTTCCAGACCCCACCCTGCCAAGAAGCGAGTTCAGATCATTAATCCCACAGTACCTCATTTCACGTTCTACTGTTTGGCCCTGTCCCAAGGACTGTGGTCATAAAGGCCCATTTAGCTAGAAAAGAACCAATATTCATCCATTACAATAAACTCATGCACTCTGGACATCTGCGCAGTACTTAGAAAACAACATTTGGTTCTCATCACTCTCAGGACCATTCCATTCTTCTCTATTGGAACCCCACTATGGCCTGAGCCCTACCTCACCACTGATCTTCAAAGACAAACCCCTTTTAGGAAAGCTACCTTGCATTGCAGTAAATGGAACTGCCATCTAGACTATAACCCAACATACATTTTCACTATCAGAAGGCTTTCCTCGCTAATCCATCCCCTCTCCCTCTATTCAAACTCACCCAAGGTGTACTAGATCTGTCCAGAAGGTATGCAGCCATGGAATAGGATAAACGGAGACATTTATTGAAGAAGATGCAATGTATTTTCACATAGGACAATGATGCCTCAGTCCCCTTCAAAGGATGCACGTCGAGAACTCAGCGATTCTCCTAGTGACCATCAGTTGCCCCATTAAAAATTCGTGAATCTCATCAATGGTCTGTAATCTCTTCCCTTTGAAAGGTTATTTTAGTTTTGGGAAAAGCCAGAAGTGAAGGGGCATCCTCTGGGCTGTAGGGGGTCTGCGTCACCTGGGTGGTTGGCTGCTTAGCCCAAAAGATCTTCATGAGACCTGATTCATGAGGGGGCATGTTGTTGTAATGAAGCTGCCAATCACCCGTTGCCCATTGCTGCGGACTTCTGAATCATCCCAGCGTTTTCCACAGGGGAATGTTCAGGCTTAATGCAAATGTGGTGCAGATCCATTGTTCCACTCCTTTAGTCATTTTGCATGCTACGGCCACACTGCACACATGCTCACTCAACGGAATCTGCCTTCCCAAGTGACTAGTCCAGGGAAATGATCATGACTCACTCATGTGCATGCCAGTCCACTCTCCTTGGCTGCCAGGTTACATCAATGTGGCGCAAAATGCTCTGCTTATACTGACAATGGCTGGACTATTTGTGGATGCACTTTCTATGCTTTCATTCAACTTCTCGGTCCCAACTTCCGTAGGGTACGTTCCCTAAGAAGACAACTGCACTGTCATCCCACCATCCATAAGTTCCTGGTTCCATCTCTGGCTCCTGAGCATAATCTCCTTCAGTAATTCTGTGGAATGAATCAGTGTTTCACATCAAATCCTTAACTGTAGTTCTTGATTTCTGTTCAGGCACTGATATCTCCAAACATAAGCACCACCAGGGATGACAGGGTCTCTGTATCATCATCCAAGCGAATAGCTCCACAATGGTAAATTTCTGGTTAGCAAAATGTGTTAAATCAAAACTGAAATAATTCTCATTGTATCTATAAGTGTGTGTCTCCATATGAAGAGGCAGCATTTCCATTGACCTTGAAATCTTCTGTAGAAACGTGCTCTCAATTGTGGAGGCGCCGACAACAGTGTTGAGCCTCTGGGTCCACTCACAACTCACCGTAACTGTGACCTTTGACAAACCACTTGTTCTCTTTGAACCTCAGGTTCCACTCTGTCAAATGAGGAGCTTGAACTCAAAAACCTTAATTGTTTATACAAGATACCACGTCCTGGGTTATATTAATATGAATCTGTCAATGTACACACCCATTTCTCTCTGGCGCGACTGAGAAAATGACCAACACAGAAAATACATTCATAACAATGGAAAACATTCCATCTGCGGGACAACGGACATGAGAGCAAGTGGCAACGACGGCACAGAGGTAGACCGTTGGGGATGCAGTAATCCCACTGTGTTCAAGCTCCACCTCCTGAACAGGCCTTCGATGCCACGTTTTCCCTCAGACATATACTTTATGACAGCGAATACTCAAATTTGTTAGTTTTCAGGACTATCAAATACTCAAAAAAAAATGGCCAAAAGTAAAGGATAGACACTATTAAGTATTGGTGAAGATGTTCCACAAGGGACTCACACCAGGATAGTGTGTTATGGCAGGGTGGATTGGCAAACTTCGTAGAGATCAGTATGATGATATTTACTAAATCTAAATTTTCTGCACATGCTCACGTACATTTTCAACTCCTGGCTTTAAATACAATGTAAATGTGTGTATATGCCTACCAATAACAATAGAAACAACTCAGCATCCTACTCTGCATTTTAAAGTAGATGAATTAAAAATGATACAGTTGTAAAAAGAATGCTATACCACAAAGGGAATCAATGTTTTCCAACTGAATGTAGCGATCTGCGCAACTGTGTAATTGACTAAAGCAGCACAAGCTTTAGGTGTCTGCTGGTGTATGGCTCAAAACAACATAAAACTAATTTATCATGACAAAAACCAACTATGTAGTTATTCCTTGGGGTGAGGAGACTACTAACTTAAGAGGATAGCTCCATGCCCTGACCGGTGTGGCTCAATTAGTTGTGTGTTGTCCACATTGTGAAATGTTGCCAGTTCAATTCCCAGTCAGGGCACATGCTTGGGTTGCAGGTTCAGTCCCTAGTCGGGGCACATGCAAGAGGCAACCAATTGATCTTTCCCTCTCACATCAATGATTCTCTCCCTCTTTGTTTCCCTTTCTTCATCTCTCTCTAAAAATAAGTCATTTTTTTTGTTTACAAGAAAGATATCCTCAAGTAGAAGGCTTTGGTGATTCTGATAGTGTTCTATTTGTGGTTTTGGCCCTATTTATAACAGTATTATTTTTAAATTGATCTAGCTGTATATTTATCATTTAAGTGTTCTCCTCTACATTACATCTTAAAAAGGTTTTCCAAAAAGCAATTCTATTTTTGCACCAGCATATTCTGAGAAACTTCAGACATTTATTACTGTAAAATGTTTATTTACAGTGCTGCCTCATCTACAACAAAGTTCAGTATATTTTTGTAAAATAATGGAGCAACTCTCTTATTTCTGTGAGACTATTTCTTTCATTATCAATGATTACTGTATTTTTTTAAATATGAGCATTTCTA